GCGGTTGTTGTCGTGAAAATGTACGTGAACATTTAAATTACATATAACTTTTGAAAACGCCGTATTAGTAATCGTTGTTTGAATAGCGAAATAAAATTAACATTTACGCGATTGTGTACAAGGGTACCTACCTGTTCCGTTTTAAAATCAGAAAACATTATTTTCGTTTTGAATGTTTATTTCATTTTTACAACTAAAGTGTAACACCAAGATATTAGCGAACAGCAGGTACACGTAACACGCAACGGCTGCGTACATTAATTTACGCACGCGCATAATATTTCGTACGCCCGAAATGAATGTACGAACTTCCGCCAAGAACAAATTAAAGGAGCAAGCGGTCTGTACGTGTTTTCATGCTATAAGGGTAATATTTCGAAAACGAAAATTTATACAAAAATAATATCGCCGCGGTGAATAAATACAAACGAATATCAAACGTTTAAACATCGGATTCAAGGCCGAACAAGTCTTGTATGGAAAAAAAAAAAAACTAGCCGATAGATTCGATTACTTTTTATTTTTTATTTTTTCTAAACAAAATTCAATAACTACTCGGCGCATATAATGCGTATTGAATTGGACACGTTTCATAAGATTAAAAAAATAAATAAATACGTACAAACTTTTAGTTTGTGTAGAATAGGTATATACACTCGCATAATAGCACTACGCGTATTAAACGTTATCGCGGCATTGACGATCACTATAAAAACGATCAACGCGACACGTACAATCTTGACGATTATTATTTGCGATATCGAACAATACGCGCAATCCTGTGCGTGCATGCTTCAAAAACAACAGTTTGGTGTACAGATTTTGATAAATTATGCGTTTCGATTTAAATATTTTAAATATTTTTCTATGGAACGGTAGTTCCTTCAGGAATAACCGACAGGGATTTATCTGAACAGTGTTTCTTAATGTCAATTCGGCCATTTGAATAAATCTTACTCGCAACTTATTATCAACTCACAGCGATCAAAACTAACGTAGTTTAACATGTGTAATATAATAGCACGGCCAGGACTGGCGGAAATAAACATCGATCGACACGGCGAAAAGAAGTCTGCAACGCAAGTGCAACTCGGTAACACGAAGGCGTAGAGGCATGCATGTACGCTATACAAATGTATCTGACGATTCCGATGTGTACGAGCAGTAAAACGTGCCTAAAACGGACATTCCAGAACGTTTCCATAATACGTCGTACACCGCGGCGTGTTTAGCTTCACGAAACATTCTGCGGTGGTTCACGATTTCCCGAACCGCCGTGATCCCTTCCATCGCGTTCGGCAGAAAACGACGGAAAACGGATGGCCGATATCGTGCCGGAAAATTTCGTAACCGAGCAAACTGACGTTGCGACCGTTAAAGGAGTGCACTGTTAACGAAAGTGAAAATTGTTTCGCACCGAGAACATTTCCAGTCAAGCGCGGCTTCAAGGGGGAGTCATTGGGGCCATGCCCCCCAGGCTTTTCAAAAATTAAAATTTTTAAATACATTTTTGTCCTTGTGAACTGTAGAATCCCGATTATTTAATTAGATACCTAACAATTTTATTTTGCCTAAAAAACCATATTATGTCATTAATATGAGGTGTGTATCATAATATAGGAACGTAGTCGGACTCGGTGTCACAGTACTAATTTGGGGAAACAACTATTATCAGTTAACACCTAATACGCCCAGGCAAGTCTCTGAAGCCGCACCGGTTTCCGGTGATGCGCGTGTTGGTATTCAACGCACGAAATCCCTTCGTCGAGCCATTGTGTCTCCCGGAACACGATTTTACGTGCGAGCCGACCGTTGATCCCGTAACCTACCGGGCCAGGATTTGTACGCATAAACAATGAGAGCCGACGGAGGGTTTTCAGCCGTCGTTTTTTTCGACTTTCGAACACCGTCCGCGAACACCCATGTTTTTTTTCGCGCGTCCGAATCCTAGGTCCAAGATGGATTAGATTAATCTGAGGGTCAGGGACGAGCGAAACGAAAACGAATCGAAACAAGTCTACACCTGACGGTGCGTCTGGTGCAGCCGACGAGGGGGTACACGCGCGTACTCGTCGCAGTGCGCATGTCGTAACGTCGAAAAAATGACGTGCGCAAATGTGGCCCGTCGACGGTTGCAAAACTCGTGGCGGCTCCGGGCGGTGTACGACAAACGTAAATCGCAACCGCGTACGCGCACTAGCGGTCGTAATGACGCGAGCGTTTTTGCGTCGCGACTACTGCAGGTGGTACTGCACGTCGACCCGTTCGACGATAAAACGTTACGATAGGCGTTGTAAGTCGTGGTGCAAGCGAACGTAACGAAAAACCGACAATAACTCGATGAGACGTCATGTGCCCGGACTACGATATTCTGTACGCGGCACAACCTGATTTAGAATTTTTTTAGTCCCGGGACAAAATTAAAAAGTTGATCTGTTTTCATCAACTGTAATTTAAATTATAATTAGTAAACCAGTAGTAAGAGTATATTAGTAGACCAGTCAATGCATTGAGTTAAGCATGCTTAATAGTAAATAAAACAATATTGGAATTTAGATACTTTTTTGCAAAATCTTCATGATTTAAAAAAAAAAAAAAAAAAAATGTTTTCTCAAAAGTAGGTATCGAATGTGCAGATATTACAAAACCTTCAGAATTTTTTAAAATATAATTTTTCCAGCCTTTTTTTCTGCAAATGCATCAATGACTACATCGAAATTAACGCTTGCAGTGATTTCATTTTCAACGGATAATATTCCTAAGGCGTCCAACATTTCTTGACTCAGAGATGATCTCAATCTTTTCTTAATTATTTTAAGAACTGAAAGGTACAATTAGTTGCTGGCATCGTCGAAAATATAAGCATACGTGTTTCTACATTTTGAAACGTATGAGTTATTTGCATATTTTTAATAAATTTAATTATGATGAAGATGGAGTAATTATTGTATCTTTATCATTTGTAGATATAATTAGACTAGAATTTTAAGGATCAATTAAAATTAAAAGAATAATTAAATCCAGTAGGTGGTCGGTATACGTTTCGTCCGTTGTCGTCTGGATAGTGTAAATGTACGCGGAATGAGAAGGGGGGTGAAAGAGATGATCCTCCCCGGACCCGGAATTTTTGAAAGGGCCCGGAAATTAGAGACTACAAATTATTAAAAATTAAATTCTATTAATGGTAAGAATTTAATGAACACTGCAGATAAAATTAAAATATGCCCCCCGGGCCCGGGTTTCCCTCTCCACGGCCCTGGATACAGCCATTGGCCCGGCCGCGTACGAGATCTGACGTGACGTCATTGCCGACCGAGCTGCGCTCGATTATTTATACGGCGTGCATTATTACGTACGGTACACGTGTTCATCGTCCCGGCGGTTTACGATACCGCGCCCCCAACCCTCTCCTCCACGTTCAAGGCGGAATTTCGGTCTTTGTACGCCCCACCGGGCCCGTGTCTCGGAGGAACGCGCACAATGTTGTACAGTACGCGCACCGTACACATGCGATCGGCGTACGAGTGTGATGCACGTGTGTGTGTGTGTGTGTCGTAGGTCGAAATACCACGTCGAGAATGTTCTGAACGCGACGGACCATCATAAATAACGTTCCATTTCTTCTACTCCGACCCAGTATATTGTAGCGACCGTTTGCTTATTATTGTTATATTTGAATATATTTGTTTCAACGCAACGCTGGTGATCTTGGAAGTCAACACATACTTTATTAGAAACACTTGAACTGTACTTGTATTTATATAACACGTCTGTTTGCACGCTCTTGGAGACGAGTTGGATTGGAAAATAATCTCTGATGGTCGTGTTACAACAGACAGTGACACGTTACTGTCGTTTAAAAGTTTTTTTAAAAAAAAAAAAAAAAAAAAATTAACATTAACCTACAAACTAACGTACAATGTGAAAGTTTATCTACATCGTTCGTAAACGTACTCACAACACACGTGGAACGTAAACGATCTATGCTTAAGCGAGTTAAAATAATGATGCGTAGAAATCAACTTTGGTTTCAAATAAACATAAAAAAAAAAACAATGATTAAATAGCGCATAATGGACATTCATCAACCCAAAGTATTGGTGTTGAATGTATGTATTCAAATGTATAATGTATACGTGTATGTATCGTGTATATACGAATCTTAAAGGCTCATACAATTTCTATTTGAGTAACGTAACGTCTCGAGGGTTATGACGTTTTTCGATTATGATTTATTGATTTCCGACTCGTACGGTATAATACGTAAGACGATATTGTATCGATTTACACAAAAATACGGATAAAATTCGTGCGAAGAAAATAATTACCGAGTATGGTTTACCCAAATTTGTCGATTCCGCAGCAGACCGTCCGTCGGTTTTACATCCATAGTATATATACACATCGGAATCTATACACGTTCGATAACATTTTTATGAAAACACACCTTAAAAATTGTCTACGACATAACACACTTGTGAACAACGCGCCGGCATCGACTATATTAATGCGATTCGTAAGTCTCCTGAGACCCTCTAATCCTTGTTACGATTCCCCGTATATATATTTATGAAGTACAGTCTTAGCCGACTGTATAAATAATATGATGTCGTTCCTATGGTGTAGCGGGCAATACGAATAAATAATAATAAGACCGAAAAGGGTGAGCGCGTGCGTTACGGACATTATGTACGGCGACCACAAAAAAAAAAAAAATAAGAAAATAAAATAACCCGAGCTCAAAACAAGACGATAAAAACCGTACAAACATACCGAACGATCCCGTTATGTTTTCGAAGGGGAAAAAATTTGTTTTCCAACAACAACGGTCGGTCGAACGAAAAAAAATTTTTTTTTCAAAGTCCTCTCGACGATTAACGGTACAACTACGCCCAAATGATGGACAAAAAATATGAACGCCGCAATGACGGAACATATTATATTATTATATTGCACACGACAACGGAATACGAAGAGACGACTGTGTTCAGTCCTTAACCGTACCGCGTACGCGAAACAAGACGTGCGACACGACCAGGCAGAACGGCGTGCAAGCTTGCAAGTGAGTGACGTCTCTAACATATTTTGTCTGTAATAAAATTCGTCGTTCGCTGTGTCCGATCGCGGATCGGAACCGTTCGTGCCGAACGTTACGTCTCAATAAGTCTTACCCTAGTAGTTGTTTCCATGCGTTCCAGTGGGACTGCGGTTTACGAACACCGTGGTACGTAAACGGTCTCGCGGTCCGAATACGTTTGAAAACAAAAAAAAAAAAAAAAAAAAGGCGAAAGGGGGCGCGCGCGCGCCCGGCGCGTGATGTTTTTTTCTTTGTGGGGGGGGGGGGGAACAAACATTCGTTTCGTTCGGCGCTCGGACCGCGCGAGCGTTAATTTTTTTAAAAGCTTATTACCGTCGCTGTGTAACGGCTTTAAGGCTTCTACGATTACCGACGAGAACTACCGGGGACCTGTATGTTTTCTCACGGCAAACACGGTGGTCGTACACGCGACGGTTAGGCTGCGTATGATTTACGCGTGTTTACGCGCTTTGTTTGCGCATATCTCCCGGGGCCACCTTCGGTAAACAATCGTTCGACGGCGCGTGCACGGCGACCGGCCGGCACGTCGAAAACGTCGGCGGCGCGAAACGCGCACGAACGACAAGTCCGAACAACGCGTCGTGCGCATCAACTGTGATTCGGGTTCGTTCTCTTGATCACGTCCGCCCGGGGACGCGAGTGGGCACAATAGACGCGTGTGTGCGTAATCCACGGGTTCGTAGTCGACGCGTGAAACGTACGACCGTAACGTAATAATGATGCGCGTATAATATAATATGTACACGTCCGAATTGACTGCCGGACGGGAAAAGCGGAGAACGCGCGGGGGCCCCGTCCGCGGGAGGAGGGCACCGCCGAGTAGGAATTATTTCCTCTCTGTAATTTATCGACGTGCAGGTACACACCAGCGCTCCGTCCTGCTCTCCGTTTCCATTCCTTTACGTGTTGCAACAGCTCCAATTACACCGGACGAAGGTGCGACGACGAGAAGCGTGTGGACGGGGGGGGGGGGGAAACCGGAAAATCCACGTCGCGGTACGTATCCAACGACGATTGGGGGGAGGGAGACGATCATTAGCATAGAAATGGGGTTGAGACGAACGGCAGAGGTCGTCGAGAGTTCGATCGGGTTCTTTGCGGGGACGGGGGACGGGGAGGAAGCAAACGACGGGATGACGTGCTGCGCTCGTATTTATGTGCACCGCAAGGAACTCCACGGGAAGTGGGCGGAAAGAGCCGGAATTACGGGCCTATATACGTGGGTATATACGTGCGTGCGATAAAGGTTAGCGTAGGAGGTCGTATTTATTTTTGGGTGTACGTTTCACCGTCCGGCAACGTGCGCGAATGCCGTAAATGCGACCCGCGACTTGCGGGTACACAATACGGGTATTTAATGTGCGTATAAAGACCGAAAATCGCTACATTATGTAAATTCTCACGCGAAGAAAAAGCAAAAAAAAAAAAAAGAAAAGATTTCTCGCGAGGGATTTGAATACAAAAATAGGAATATAAAAGCGAGGGGGAAAAAGCGCACCCGCTATTTTAACGCGTTTGCGTTATTTATTGTTTATTTTTTTTTCCCCTCTGTTCTTTATTCCTTCTAGCCGTCTTTCCCCGGCTTCGGGCCGTATGGAAATACAGCTGCGCAGTACGTACAGCGAATAGCATTTATTTATGTTGTTATTTATTTTTTTCCAGAACGTCCAACAGGCACGCTTTTCCGATATGCGCATATTTATACCCCGACGAAACGCGAGGTGCGTTCTTTCTCCGGAATTTTCCGGCTGGCGAATAAAACGACATTCTCAAAAGTGTTATAAAACGGCCAACTGTACACGACCAAATAAACGGTATGCGATTAAAATGTATGTATAAATTTTTTTTTTTGTAGGTATTATTTGGTACTAATGGTAGGTTCTATTCGTAAGAGGTATTTCAATAAAAACGTGTTATATAATTATATAAAGACAATAATGACGCCGATCGAAAAGGGTACATATAATAATTTATAGATAAAAAAAATATCACTAAACAATAAAGTTTTAGAAAAGCAACGCGATCCGTGATAAAAAGAAACACAGTATGGCTACGGTTACTAATGATGCGTGTACACGAGTGTCATTAACGCGTTTCGTTCGAAGCAGGTATATGGTTGATGAAACCGAAACTTTGGTAGAGTATGAACTTAAAATGATAATTTTTTCCGACGGTCGGTACTCGGTAGATACATTACGTATAATCATGGGTGGCGCATTCATTTTACAGTAGCGGGTGCTTCTATAATACGAAAAAAAATAACAATTAAGAACCTCGACGTGAATAGTATTTCAGCATTTCGATCGATACATCGTTTTGTACCACACGGTCGCGTGTCTGTGCACAAGATCATGAGTTTTCAGATACACAATTATGGTAAAATGTACTCTCCGGAATCGACGCACAATTCGTTTGTTTTTATGTCAAATAGTTTTTTCCTCGTTTTACCGTTACCACCGTAACCACACACACACACACACACACACACACACACACACACACACATATATATATATATATGTGTATATTATAGTTTACCATACGTATTGGAACAACAGGAAAATAAATATTTCCATGTTAAAATATTATACAACCACACAAATTATATTATATAGCAATGTACAAATGTATGTTGTGTGCCGTCCCCAACACCACTCGACTACTGTATCTACTGTATATGCTCTCGGCAAACACCAAATATATTACGCTACAGCTAATGCGCGCGTTTTTTTTAAAATATACGACGAAATACCATTGTGCACATAGTGGACCGATATCTTCCTAAAACCGGTATTTCGCTAAATTTGTTTTCACAATAATTAACGTCATCGGGTCGCTTTGATTATTCTGGGCGTACCAATATAATAATACACAATACACTACGCGCGGCACTAATAAAAACGCTATGCGTCTCGCGCACGTGCAGAAGTCTTCTTTCGAGTTGTAAAAACGAACGGAACAAAAAGGGGAAATATCACTGGAATATCCGGTTTTCGATAGTTTTTCTGTTTCTTCTCGGTCTCGAATTACAGTTGGAGTCTACGTCATTCACGTAGTAAAATAATTACGGTTTGAACATTTCGAAACCTTTTGCGTTCAATTTATTGTTTACGAACGTTTGTGTTAAGTTAGACACAAAGTAAAGTTAGAAAAAATGTAATAAAATATTACTATTTACTTTTATGAAAAACGACGGACGGCAAGGCTCTGAATCAAAACCTGGGTCGAGTTAGCGGGGGGGGGGGTCTTAAAGGGCGATTGCTCCTGGGCGCTTAAATTTTGTGAAAGTATTGGGTATTTATATTAGGTATTAGTACGCACATGGCTTCAGCGGCCCAAGGACTAGAAAACGCCCGGGAGCGTTATGAATTCCTTGGCTCGGTTCTAATTAAAACGTATAAGATTTGTAAGCAGTATAACACAAAATATCTAATGGGAAGTGATGCGAAACCCTAAAAAATGTCAAAAATTTGATTCTACTAGGCCGCAATAGTTGTGGACTGATTAATCGATTTACGAATTCGTTTTGGATCCCCAACAAGTGAAAATCCCAAGTTTAACGATCTGCAGCGTTGTAAAAAATACATGCGATGACAGGTTCACTTAGTGCACCGTGCACGAGTGTTGTATGAATGTGTAATATTAGAAAAAACGATCGGTCTTCGTACTCGAATACTACTGTTATATTGTTCCGTGCCGTACGGCGTTTCTCGACGGAGGCCATTCCGCGCGGTTCACGAGGCGGCGATGGCGTTTATTCTGACGGAACTAATCGGTCGTTGTTGCGTTACAGTGTACGCGGCGATTGTTCGAAATCGGCCACCGAAAGGAGGAGAAAACCGATTTTTCTCGTCCTCCCGAAGTTTTCTTTGTCCGTCCGCCCCCGAGCAACACCGCTCGCGTACACGGCGGTGCGCGCATATCGCCGATGCATTGTAACGCGTATACATTGTCGTCGTTTTCGGCCATTCGGTCGGAACAAAAAATAAGAAAGAAAGAAAAAATAAGCATGATAATAATAATAATAATAATAATAATAACCGAATAAATAAATAAATAAGAATCGTTTCGCACGCACATTGTAGCGGCGGCTAAACGCAATACAATATAACTTATGCGCGCGCGTATTATCTCCGGAGCAGCACGGGCTACTGAATTTGTTTGTAATGTTCGAACACAATACAGACGCGGCTACGGTGTACGCGACGTGTAAAATGGTCATCCGTACTTGCGGCGGACGACCAGAAAAACGCATTCGGAGACACCGCGAAATGCGTGTGAAACAACTCTCGCGCACACGCATTGTGTGTTCGTGCATTGTGCTATTATTATTGAAATTATTATTATTGCGATTTGCGCGTACAACTTTGTCAGTACCGTTTTATCGTAAATCCGTCCGGACAATGATCGCCCCGGAGTCTTCCGTACCGTTATGCTCGTTCGGTCTTGCATACACATTTAGGCAGGCCCGTTTTTAAATAGATGGACAAACTCAAGCCTCGGGCCTAGATTTAATTTGACCTTAAACTGTGTCCGTATCTCATCACATAGTTATAGCTCTTCGGTATTTTTTTTTCTTTCCCGTCGTATTCGCGTCTCAAGTAAGCCTACTCGTTTCGGTCTTAATCCGGGCCTGTTTATACGTGAGTGTTCCGCGTGAATGTTTATTAATTTCAAGTGGCCCCATCTCGTAAAATTATATCCTACAGCGATTGCTCGCAACAAAATGCGCGTTCGTCACGCGGATGATAAAACCTGTCCTGCGGAGGAAAAACGAATGCGGTCCCGTTACATATCTTACCGCAGGCCGTACATCGTACCGACCAAGTCGCCCTAAAACGGAACATCTCTACGGTCGTCCCTGCCGTCCGTTTCGTGTTGGACAGTTTTCTCACCGGAAGTATGATGGTATTATTATGCAAATCCTTCGATAACGGTGCACGTGGTCTACAAGCATAAGCGTTTTACGAGGACCAATACGAAATAATTCACCAGTTCAAACGACGTAATCCCTTTCGTTTTACAAATTATCGTAGAGTTGCGTACACGATTTCTGTTTTCCCGATTCCCCGCCGCTGCAGTGCGTGGCACGGCTTGGAACGTCGCGGTACCGGCTGATAATATTGTAGCAATAGTTTTCGTGCGGCATAATCGATACGTGTTGGTAAATACGGTACACGTTTACGCCATTCGCATAACCGTTAAGAACGTTTTGTAGTACTTATTTAACGTATTGAAATACGCCATAGCGCGTGCAGCGAAACGGGTGAAACACGTGTAAAAACGAAACAGTACTAAGCGAAATTTAGGATTTACGCACTTTACTGCAATAAATGTACATCTACATCATATTTTATCGTTATTATTATTATGTTACCGTCCGATGCGTGAATTACCCGAGAAAAATTTTTTTCGATCGATTCCCCTATTGGGGGCATACGTCTATGCCTTCGGAAACACATTTCTTACGCGTAACATTCGAAACTGCATGAAAACAAGGCAATCCAATTAGCCGCGAGTGTTAATTTTTTACGCGGAAAATATAAGTATTTTCTATTTTTTCGGTTTTCCGCGCACCGATCTTTACAATTTTTATTATAATATTTTTACAACACGAGTTGACGGGTTTTTTTTCCTTTTCGATATTGTATACCATATTTTCGACTATACGTTTCGGAACAAGCGAAAGCACAGCGAAATTTACGACATTTTCGTGTGCGACTCGCATCGGGTATATGTAGTATATATGTACGAGGAAAGAACAATATTCGCCTTTTTTTATAGGCGAAAACATCGTACCAATGTACACGAACCGCACCATTCGAGAATATTGTACACTGCCAAAATATACTCAAAACTGTTGACAGCAGTCGTGTTGTGCGAATCTGATGAGGCTATGTTAATTTTCGTTTCCACCAACAGTAAAACATTGTACAACTCATTATAATAAATATAATGACAAGTCACTTGTGAAAACATTTCTCGTAACAGTACATCATACTTCACCATTTGTGTTACATGTACGCATACATCCCTGTACCACATATATACGTAGATCATTGATTTCGAAAAATAGATTTTTTTGGTAAAACCGATCGTAGTATATACGGATTACGTATAAATACAGATTTTACGGAATACTGCAAACGTACGGTACCGACGTTACCGAAGGGATTTAGTCACCGATGAAATTTTAAAACGTCTCAATCCTTCTCTGCAGACACTTATACGGTACTGACATTTTGACTAATGCCGTTTACGCAGTACTGCGAAGCAGACTACTATGTCGAACACACCAAGAATAAGTGAACCACTCTGTAAAATAACTTTTTATATTTTCTGACCGTTCTGCGGTATGCAATGTAGTTGTAGCATTAGACCACGTGTAATAAACACAAGTATCTATCAAGTTCATCAAATCAATGTTAAAGATATAAGCTCGTAAATTTGCATATTGCGCACCACACGTGTTCAGCTTGCTTGTGTGCAATTACGAGTCGGTGCACATCGTTATTGTTTCCAAGTCTTAAGTACGAGTATATTTATACATACACGTATAGCGTACAAAGCTCGATATTGCGTGCGCTATAGACAAAATTATAGCTGCAGCACTGTATGGGTATGCTCTTACGTATGTAAATCATACGTTTTCCGGTTTTAATATGTACAGTGTGCATCGCACGAAGGTCGGATCAAAGTGATTTCGATGTAGAACAGTCGTAATATACGATTATCGAGATACACGCCCTATACGCATAATATATATATATATATCGTGTACACAGAACGGAAACATCGTACCTATATGTATATCGTGTAATATGTACAT